CGATTCTTATATTCACGTTTAAGTCTTTTCATTAATCTTTTTTTTTTTCTTTTCTTGGTTTTTTTACCCAGACAGATATCTAGTTAATTCGCTTCAAGCCACCTTCAATTAAGACTCTTATTCCTATCAACGCAAAAATCCTTTTCTGCTCTTTTGTGGAGCAGGAGCAGCAGGTTCTTGTGGCAAAGATTTCTGTTTTTCTAATTGCGCTTTTTTATCTTCCAACAACTTGATTTGTTTTGTTAATTTGTCCTTCATTTCCTTATGTCTTGAAAATAAGTCAGCCTCCGATCTTTGCAATTTCTTTTCCTTCTCAGAAACCTTCTGCTGGAAAACAGCTTTCATTTCGGATTCCATCTTTGCTAACTTTGCTTCATGTAAAGCTCTCTCTTCTTCTTGCTTAGCCAAGGGGTCAAATTCATGAAATACAGTGTCATCTTGCTTGATACCCATTCTTTCCAACTTCTCCGTCCTATACTTTTCGTACAAGACATTGGAAGTATTCTCCTTCAATTCTTCTAAAAATTTCCTTACTAATAATTGACGAAGCTTTATGAAATCACTGTGATTTTCATTGTCGACTTCAATAACACCCCAAGGATATCTTCTACCCCTAACTATTCTACCATCAGGGGTTTCTATTTCCCTCGTTGACCCAACAACAGCAAAAGGTAACTTATCTAAAATGTCCTGTGTATGCAATACAGTTTCTTCGTCGTCATTCTCATAATCATAAGGTTTGAAGGTTTTAATACCCTGATGACGAATATCATCTAAGATCCTGAGCTTAAAACCAGATATTTCTTCTTCGGTCAAAGTATCAGATTTGGCAATAACTGGAATTAAGTTCACCTTCTCGTGTACTTGCTTCATCAAAGCGATATCCAAGGATTTCAATGAGTGTCCGGTTGGTTCAACAAAATATAAGAGAGCGTGTATCCTATTATCATCGATCGTAGATCTATTAACTCGACTTTCGGATTCAAGGTAAGAATCAAATCTGCCATTTATTTCATCAGTAATAGGTTTCCAAGAATCAGTATTGTTGATAGACTCACCAAAACCTGGAGCAGTGATAACATTTAATTTCAACTTGACACCATCTTCTTCTATTTCTGCTGATGTTGACTTTATCTTTACGGAAACCTCAGGTTCTAGCTCTTCTGCTGCATCTCCTTCTTCTTCTTCTTCTTGATCATCTTGTAAGATTTCCCTATTGAAAAGAGTATTAATTAAGGTTTTTTTACCTAAACCACTTTCTCCCACAGCCATCAAATTTAAGCTGAATCCCCTTCTAACAGATTTTCTGTGCCATTGCTTTGGCAAGTTAGCAAATCCAACGTAGCCATTCAATTTACGTTTAATTACTTTAACTTCTTGTTGAGCTCCTTTGAGAGCTGAAGATGTTGGATTTTCGTAAGATGAAACATCAGGAGGCGAAATATCTAATTCTAAAGGCGTTAGTAAATATTAAGAACGTTAAGGTAGTTAAGGCAGCTCCAAAAACTATGCGCCATGAAGGATGGTTTACATACCTGAGGTCATATTGTGATTCTGTTCCCTAACAATTTCAAACAATCCACGAAATGTAAATCTTAACCTATCAAGTTAAAGGCTGCTATTGAAAATTATGACTACTAAAAGTTCCCAAAGTCTAATCTCTTAGTCTTAATGCTTTGGTATGTAAACACAAGAGTCTTACAATAAATCGAAATTGATTTAAAAACACTGTACAAACACAAATCGATTTTCGAATTGTCAATCGAGAAAAAAAAAATATTACGTGTCAGTGACTCACGTGATAAAGCATTTGTCTCTTGTAATGCTGCCTTTCGTGAATACATCATTAAGTCAAGTTGCAAAGTTGAAAAGTTGAAGATCACATAATTCCATTCAGCATCTCCACTATTACGATTACTTACAAGATAGTTAATTCTAGGGGATTATCTCTGCTTTTCTTATTCATGTTTGCTTTTTCCTATCATAGCGTAATAAGAACTCTTTCTCTTTGGAAGATATTAGGACTTAAGTTCGTCAATTATAAAATGCTTCTGTCTAAAATACGATCTAGCTCTTGAATCACTCTCTTTTATTCAAATTAATGACAAAGTGGGCTTTTCCTAGCCAGCTATTAATGGTATTACATGATACTTAACCCATCAACATGGGTTAAGTACTACATCTACGTCTGAAAATACGCTGAAAACTTTGAATCGTATTACCATATATTTCACATTATTGCTGAACAATTAGCTCTCTCTTTTGATTTATTAGGATTCTAGATATCTCTTCTTTAGAGTATAATAAACTTAGTTTTTAATGTTAATTTTTCGCAATCATACCCAATTTTCAAAAATCGTGCGAATACTTCAGTTGAGTGCATTTTGGTAATAAAAAGGAATCTTTCTTGAAGAATGCTATAATTAGGTTACCAAGTACACTTGAGTCTAACTTTTGAGTATTAGGGTATCCGTAAAGTTATTGCTTTATTGATTTAAGTGCTAATAGCTGGTGTCCTGTAAGATGTAAGGGTGTGAAAATCAGATGCAAAGGATGGTGCGTAGGATGTTTTATCTCTAAATCGACAGTAATTATAGAAGTTCCTCAAAGTGCCCACAAGAAGTCCGCATGCATTCGAAGAAAGGGAGAAGCTGTAGTGGAGACATTAAAGGATTACTGGAAGGAGTACGCATGCCCAGAATTAGAGGTGGTAAAAGTAGACTCCTATTTTTCTGCATCTTTTTTCGTTATCCAAAAGGACAAGGAACTACGGAGTTAATAATAGCTGTAATAAATTTATACAAGAAAGTGGTCGACTTCATTTCAATTGAAGCTTCAAGAAGGAACTAGACAGGCTTGTGCCTCAATACTTGATAAAATTTCTGATATTTTATGTAAGGTTTATTTAGGTGTATAACATGTCTGGTGATTCATTTACTCTATATTTTCCAATGGTTTTTTATCTCATAATTCATACATCAATATCTCTTAATTCATCTAATAGAAACTCAAGGCCCATTTTTGCAAATTGGGTCATATTCTGGGATCTTATTCGACAATTTGTGTTTCTACTACAAGAAGACTCGCCATTAGGACCACTGAGACCCAAGTAGACCTTACCTATCTCATCCGAGCCTGGAGTAACCAGCAAATGTAAGTCAGCAGAAGGACCCGCAAATCCAGTTTCAGAAAGGACATATGTAGAACCAAGCTCATACTTCGTAGTTCTCGCCAATTTCAATGCAACTTGTTCGGAAGGACCCATATAATCTGCAATATCAGTCTCTGACCAGCCAGAGAGTTTAAGTCTTTGTTTTAACAGGTATAATAACTTCCCTCCTATATAGAAGTCTGAAGCGCCAGGAACGGATACAATGTACGCAGACAATAAACCACCACATGCTGCTTCTGAAATCGCCAAGGTCTCATTTCTTGCCCTCAATATGTCTGCAATCTGAGTGACAAGGACTTGAACGTCTGCAGCAGGAAATTCCATATTTAATCTCCCTCTAATAATTTAAAACACTGTCATCAAAATTTAGGAAAAAAAAGTTAAGTGGTGTATATAATGAGTTGTCAACATGAATTTGATTCAGTGGCGAAGAGAAACATAAACTTTGAATTGGCTCGAAATTGAACTATAAAAAATAGTTAGTCTTCGTCATCGGCCCTGAAGAATTATACATTACCTTACGAAAATTCTCAACGTTATTTGTACACCTAGATTAAACCGTCAGAATGAGCAACACTATTAAATTTAACGCCGGCAAAGTACAGTATGACGAGGAGACACATCGCTGTAACCCCTTACCTCATAAGGGTATCGTTACCATAAAACCAAGTTTAGAGGACGAAGAGTTTTACGATTTCATATGGTCCCCCAAAGGCAATGGCTCAGGTAATGTTGAAAAAGATGAATTACTTATTATTCCTGGTGACGTAAGTTTCAAACAAGTGAAATCTTGTGATACTGGTAGAGTTCTTGCATTGAAATTCTTGAGTTCAGGTGCGAGACATTTGTACTGGCTTCAAGACGTTGGTGATGATGAAATATTGAATAAGTTGACGCCAAAAGATGAAGAATTGATCAAGGATGTTAATAGCATAATCTCTGTTCCTGAAGACAAAGAGGACGGGGAAGAAGAAGAATTAGAAGGGAAGAAGGTAAAGCTGAGCGGTGGCGAGACACAAGAGTAAGTAAGTTCTTTTTCTAGCGTAATAGATGCATTTGCTATAATTTTCTTTTTTTCTTTAATATCGAAAGGAAGGAAGTATTGTTGATTACTATTAATTTTTTTATTATTTTCATTATGGATATTAACATTCCCAAGAATTGAAAGTGAACAGCTGAGGGAGCAGTTTAAATTTCCTATAAGCTCTATTTCTGATGTTCTCAATATAAAGCTAGTGGAGGAACATTTGAATACGTTGGATACAGCTCAAATATCAGAACTTTATGGTAAATTTTTGCCAATATCCATGGCTTCATCGGCTACGAAGAAGGACGTTCTCGATGTTTTCAGGAATGGTTTTTGCCAGCAGGCAGCAAATCAGTTGAGTGACCTGTTGAATAATGGCGCAGGATTCGTTATGGCCAGGGCTTTAAATTATGAGTATTCTGGAGAAGGAGTGGACGGATTTTTAAAAGGTATTAGGAGCTTAGCGGAAAAGGAACGAATGGATGAAAACGACCGTCATAACTGAGCTAATCTTGAATAGGTAAACATTTTTTCAGCAATCAAGTTTGTTTTCGCATATATATGTTGTTGTCCATGCTAAGGTACACAGCATCTTCAAATATAGATGTGAGGAAGTGCTTTGCAGAAATGCCTTGTATCTCAAAGACTATGCCAGTAGGTGACGTCAGTTACATAGATGTGATTCACATACCAATTTATATTTTATACATACAAATGTTAACACAATAATGATGCATTTCTCGTTGATTTTTGTCTCAAATGACCTATTGTCTATTGTCTCTATTAAGCCAGACCAATTGCTACAGCGTTATCAATAGGACTGTGGTACTTAACAAAGTAAATTTTTTTTTTTCAAAAATAGCTAACTTAGAAAGTCATATGATTCCCTAAGGATTGAAAAGACTCTTTAAACAGCGAAAAACGCTCTCTTTCTGTAAACGCAAAGAATAAGCAAAGAAAGTGATTGATGTGTTACAAAACGGTATTTTCACGTTTCTATCTTATTATATGATCACACACCTGTATATAAGGGAAACAGCCTCTATCACTCAACGGTGTATAATCATTATAGAGCCATATAAGAACAGTAGGTTGCTACCTATCAAACAGAACGATTGAGTACTTAAAAAAAACATCACAAGATAATATAGAAGCTGAAAACAAAATCAAGTTAAACTATGAATAAAATTGAACTAGTCACACAACCTGCTTCTACCCAAGACCTGTCTGCTTCCCCACAAGAATCTACGCTCAAAAAATTAAAAGGTTTAGTTCAAGATAATCCTCCTGTTGAGGACGAGGAAAAACTCGACTCTCAGCCTGGAAATGAAACAACAAGCCCATCAGCTGAGGTGGAAAGAAACAAGCGTGAAGGTATAATTGAATCTGCTGAAAGCAAAAAAAGGAAAGACGCTGCAAAAGCAACTGAACCTGAATTTGATGACGATGGACTAGAGATTCCTCAAGGAAAAATTCCTTTGGATGGTCATTTTTCTACAGATGAGATGCAAGAGCTTATCAGCATTGCCCAGAGTAAGGATATGATAAGCCATTCTGTAAAGTTATCTGTAATAGGACAGAATGAAGTAGTCGGTGATAAGATTGTAATATCGGAAGAACATCAAGAAAATAATGAGGACAAGGATGAATCTGAAAAGGATTAAAAGAGATAGCAATAATAAGTTCGACGTAATGTGAACCTAAGGCTAGACGAAAGACTGATGGATATCTGACTAACACAAATATTCTTTTCTATGGCTATAGGTGCGCATAGCCATTATGTTATTCTACGATTTCATTATTAGATTTAGCTATTAAGGGTTTACCTGTGACAAGTTTATAGATACTTTAAAGAATGTTATGTTTCCACAATTACTGTAGATCTTCAATGATACATGTGCCACCAGAACAGCTTATGCCTTGCCGTACCGAATCTGGCATAAAACGCTAAAACTATGTGCAAAGACTACCTTATCATTAGAGTCATGCTACCATTGGTGATTGGTTATTAAGAACACAAAGAATTAGAATATATTCAGTTAGATAGAATTCTTGCTGTCGGATGTTCGTTATCTCTTATAACTAGTCGTCTCTTCAGAGAATGCCTGTCTCTGAGCTCGCACTGAGACAAAAACATAACTTCGAGCGCATTTGAGAACTAGATTTACAAGCAAGCAGACTTGTGATATCTGGTCAAGTCAGGACGTTAGACATATGGAGCCGCGATACAGAGGGAAGGAAAAGTTCAATAGAAGAACTTTGGCTTTGATATCGTGTATCGGGCTAGTGTTATATTATTTGACTGGATATTCATACACGAGAACGCTACAGGGTGCAGATTCACCAGGATGCCGTATAGTATATATGGGACCCTCATATGCCAGGATAAGGGGATTTGATGAATCATATACAAGGTTGGCATCGAAATACTCCTTGTACTTGTATCGTGAACAGGGCCATGATCCAATACCTGATGAAAATGGTTTCTCATTGAATGGAATACCAATTTTATTCATTCCAGGTAATGCTGGTAGCTTTCGACAAGTTAGATCGATAGCGGCAGAGACATCTGATTTATATTTTGAAGGAACTTCTAACTCGAATAATCCAAATTCCAAAAATTTTGACTTCTTCTCAGCAGACTTTAATGAAGATTTCACAGCCTTCCATGGAACCACTATGCTAGAACAAGCAGAATACGTCAACGATGCCATTAAATTTATTCTTTCATTATATGAAAATACGGAAGTTCCTCCGAAATCTGTGATAATTCTAGGTCATTCAATGGGTGGAGTTGTCGCCAGAGTAGCCGTTACTTTACCTAATTATAATCCAGGATCCATGAATACCATCTTGACACTTGCATCTCCCCATTCTGCGGCTCCGTTAACATTTGATGGTAATATATTAAAAATATATTCCGCAATTGATAGATTTTGGTACGAAGGCTTTCAATCAGATAGTAATATAAATACCATCGCTAGCGAAAGATTACGGAATATGTCTTTGGTATCCATAACAGGGGGTCTCCTAGACTCTGTTTTACCTGCTGACTACACAACACTAGGTTTTTTAGTCCCATTAAGTAACGGTTTTACTGTATTTACAACAGGAATCCCAAACGTATGGACACCAGTTGACCATTTAGCTATTGTGTGGTGTGGTCAGTTACGCCACATGATTCTGGAAACACTTCTAGGGATTGCAGACTACAGCTCACCGGAAAAAACGTATCCATTACAAAAGAGAATGAAAATTATGAGGCAAAACCTACTCTCAGGATTCGAAGACTACTCTTCTCAAGATTTTGGAAGCTTGCATGATACTGATGGACAAATATACTTGAAGGTGGAATCAAGTCAGATTAATCTTAGCGATAAAGGAAATACCAACATAGTTAGATCAGCAGAAATTCCATCAAATGGAGAGAATGAACTTATCATGGCATTTAAAATTCCCGACAGTAAGAAGTTACAACTCGCATTATTGAGCACAATCAAAATTGGTGCACTCTCCTCTAAGCTGAAACTATCTGTCTTATTATGCAAGAACTCAGATTCATACGATATCGAAAATTATAATCTTCATGATTTCAGAGATGATAAATCTACCCACGGAACACTTTTGAAGTGCGTTGATGTCGAAAGGGAATCTCACTTAATTCCAAAATCTTCTACTACCACTAATTCAATATCAGATTCATCATTTGGTGGGGAGCAGGTTCCATTTTTTTCTTTGAAATATAACGAGACTGTTCTCTCGAAATATGATACCGTAATAGTCACAGGAAATATTGATAATGTTAGGAGTGATGATTTTATAATTTCAGAGGTTTCGGAAACTAGAGAACTTCAACTAGGAACAACACTATCTGATTTACTTTTACAGAATGCAGTGCTATCTTTGCCAACTAATGATCAATTAGCTCTTAATATAAGAGCCCCCGAGGGATTGAGCAGTATTTTAGCATATAAGTTAAAAATAACGAATGGCAGACTGAATGAAAAAAATGAGTTATTATTTGCACCATTTGTGAGACAGTGGTCTGATGACCCATTTGAGGTAAAATGGCATATAAATCTTGACCATGATGTGGCGGTTCCCATTACCATGCATGGAATGTCACCTTACACTCCGTTTAAATTGGGAAATTCGGGCTTGAATATAGAATTTTGGTCAGAGTCCAATCAAGAAATTCAAATTGAACTAGGGATAGATTGGTTTAACAGTTTGAGATTACTTGTTTTGAGGTATCGATTATCGCTAGTAGCCTTTTGCGTCCTGGTCACGTTAATGGTGTTATTCTTTCAATTCGAGCATTATTTTAAAAGCTCACAATTCCCCTGCTTCTTATTTGGATTAGCTCAGGTGTGCTCAATGAGGGTCTTCATATCAGTCGTTGCTTTTCTCTCGATCCTTGGACCTCTCGTCCGAATTGATAAAGTTCAAATTATTTTAAATATGATTGACCCTGTTGTACTTCAAGATTCCAATGAAATTAACTTGAGTCTATCGAATGCTTTCAAATTAAACTCTTTTTTTTTGGGTTTACAAGAGGATTCTCTTTGGTTCGTTGGGCCCATTTTTTTCATAATGAGTATTGGTCTTGTTTCATTAACATACTACGTTGTTTGTTATTTAACAATTTTGTCCCGCTTCTTAGTGAAATTCGCAAGAGACAATCAGCTAATGAAACGAATAGGCAAAGCTTTGACATTAAATCGTAATGTGATCCACATTACAAAGGACTTTTGGGTAACTCGTCAGATGTTAGCTGTGATATTCCTCCTACTTCTTGTCTTATTCTATGTTCCATATCAATTCGCCTTTGTTGTTTGTTGTGTTGCGCAAGCTATTGTCTTATTAAAGGTATCATCAGCTGATAAATTAGATTCGAGTTTATTCAACTACCAGTTTACGTTATTAATGCTTATGTTGTGGATATTGCCAATAAGTATTCCTACTTTGATTGTGTTTGTTCATAATATTTCCATCAGTTGGAAAACACCGTTTTCCTCCCATCGTAATATCTTATCTATATTACCTATATTGATGGTGATTGGAAAGAATCATTCAATGAAATCTCTACCAAAGTTAACAAAAAGACCATTTGTGACTCAAACATTTATCGTTTATTTTATTGCATACGCATATATATATGGCGTTCGTCATACATATTGGCTACACCATTTACTAAACATATTGTTTTGCTGGCTTTTAATCTTATACTTAGATACAGATGATGCTGATGATGATAAGAACAGCTAAACTTACGATAATGTTTATATTTAACAATTAACTCCATTCATTAAAACTAATATACACAAACTTTAACTAGACTTAGTTAGCAGCAGAAGAGTACTTGGTGACAGATCTGGTACCTTCGGAAACAGCATGCTTAGCTAATTCACCTGGTAAGATTAATCTGACAGCAGTTTGAATTTCTCTGGCGGAGATAGTTGATTTCTTGTTGTAAGCAGCCAACTTGGATGCCTCCAGGGCAATTCTTTCGAAGATATCGTTAACAAAAGAGTTCATGATAGACATGGCCTTTTGGGAAATACCGGTGTCAGGGTGAGTTTGTTTCAAAACCTTGTAGATGTAAGAAGAGTAAGTCTCCTTTCTAGCCTTGGTCTTCTTCTTTGGTTCAGAAGAAGAAGTCTTCTTAGCAGCTGGTTTCTTTTCAGCTGGAGCCTTGGAAGCTGGTTTCTTTTCTGCTTTTGGTGCCATTATAACGTTATAGATATGTCTTAATTACCTTAAGGTCCTTTGTGACAATGAAGAAACTTGGCTGTTTATATATTTGCCTCCCTGATCGCGATCAATGTTTAAACTGAGGTCTCTTGAAAATACATATACGGGGCGGAGAAATACCGATCTGATGTGTATATATAGGAATAGCTTTGCTCTAGAGTTCAATCTGGAATGACGGGTAAATTACAGCACAGGTTCTAAAGCATAAGGTAAGAATTTAGCTTAGTAGCAGTGGCGCGGACTGCGAAACACCCGTAGGTCTCACAATTACACACTCCTTCACTCTGAACGTCGGTCTGAGGAGTGCCAGCGGCGCCAGCGCTTATCTGTGAGAAGGCAAACAAAACAAACAAAACTCCTTTGCATTGTAATATATAAAGACAGAATCCGTCCAGTGAATTACGACAGTAGCGTTTTAAGAATAACAGAATAATATAGTAATAGTAAAACATGTCAGGCGGTAAAGGTAAAGCAGACACTACAGAGAAGGCTTCCACTTCTAGATCAGCTAAGGCTGGATTGACTTTCCCAGTTGGTAGAGTCCACAGATTATTGAGAAAAGGTAACTACGCTCAAAGAATTGGTTCTGGAGCTCCAGTTTACTTAACCTCTGTCTTGGAGTATTTGACTGCTGAAATTTTGGAATTAGCTGGTAATGCTGCTAGAGACAACAAGAAGTCGAGAATTATTCCAAGACACTTGCAATTGGCCATCAGAAATGATGAGGAGTTAAACAAGTTATTAGGTCATGTCACCATTGCTCAAGGTGGTGTCTTGCCAAACATTCACTCCTCCTTATTACCTGCTAAAAAGGCTAAGGGTAAGGGTTCCCAAGAATTGTAAGCGTCTTTGGATCGGATATAATATGTGCTGGTTCATGCGTGTGTTTTCCGTCCACTGTGTATATTAGAACTTAACTTTAGTTAACGAGGTAGTATAATGGAATATGATATTGCAAGTTATTTTTATCTGTAAGCAGTGTATTGTAGATTTGCTCAAAATTTGTATTCGGCTTCTCGTTGATAAAAAAATCGATTGAATTGAAGATTTGATACTTTGTTTTGAAGAATAAAATGGAGAAATTTTCAAACTGGAGAGATAAGGGAACAGGTATTTCACCATTTATGCCCTTCACAGAACCAAGTAAGGGATTAACGCAAAAAATAGGCTTCATTTTTAATGTTATCGAAGTGTTGTTTAAAGCTCCGATCTTTATATTCTTATTTATTTTGTACCAGATAGTTCCTTACAAAGTCGTAGGTAATCTAATTTTGTTATTATGTGGCTTCAAAGGTTACGATCTTCTGGTAGAAGGGATAAGAAAGACAAAGACAGATCAAATTGATTTAAAAAGACCCAGAGCAAATGACTTAGTGGTTGTTAATTATATTTCACCTATAGATGCCCTTATTGTATCGTTGTGTTCTAATGCATCATATAAAAATACACGTTTCATTATACCTGATAAAGATGGGCAATTATATTCATATTCACTTTGGTCTTTCTTCAATAACTGTTTTAATGGAAACATAGGTGTGCCGACAAGTCAAGAAAAGATAAGTGACTTGTCAGACTTAAGAGGAGAGCTAGTTTTTCTTTTCATGGAAGGTACAACATCGAATAACAAAGGATTGCTACCATTTCCTCCTCTAAAAGCTGACATACCAGATTTTTTTAAAATAAAAGTTTTGGCTTTAAAATTACAACCAGTTCTGCTAACCTTGCCCTTGCCTGTTATTTCCAAAAGCTGCTACATTTTTAGATTGTTGACTAACTCGAGTAATAAGAGTTCTATAAAGACCAAGATCTATGAACTTAACGAGTTCGATATAGAGCAAATCAAGAAATCCTTTGAATTGAGCCTGTTGTATCTCATCGGAAACGATTTGAATATAGAAGAAAAAGCCAAATTTTATAATTATTACTTGGATCATCATATCAAAACTAGATAATTTGTCACCTCCAATATAATAAAAGAAGAGCTTCATACATTCGTAAAATCTGGTTTATCTTTGCTTTTATGCGTATCCGTCCGCCTATGCTGATGCCTATGTTTACGTCTATGCTTGTGTCTATGCTCCTTGTGATCATCATCCCTCTTTCGCTTTTTAGCCTCATTGTTTAAAAAATCTGCCATTGGATCTTTGAATTCATCGTCATCATTATTCTCACTCACAATATTATCGAAGTCATTATCAACATCATCATCATCATTATCATTACTTTTGTCATATTCAAGTAGTTGTATTTGCTTACCTTGAATAGCATTTCTATTGATCTCTTCTTCCACATCATTGTAATCCACTTTAAAGTCGTCTTCGTTTTGATCGTCTCTCAATCTAAAATACACATGGTCAACTTTTATGTTTCTATTAAATACTTTGATACCATTGAAATTATCAATAGCTAAAACGCAGGATCGAGAATCTTCATACTTCAAATAGCAAAAACCACGGGATTTCGAGGTTTCTTTGTCCTTAACTAAATACAAGTGTGTTGGGATACCATATTGCGAAAATATTGTTAAGATGTCTTTTTCGGCTAGATTGGTGGGTAAATTTCCAATGAAAATATACGGAGTGTCCCTATATTCGAAATGCCAAGAAGCAGAGTCACTAACATTATTATCTAGTTCCTTTTTATTAATTTGGTTTATCTTTTGAATTGAATTCATTCCTAAAACTCTATCTCTTCAGAAGAATTACATCCAGAGACTGATCGATGCTAATAATAATCACATTCACGTGACTGTACTATTCTCTTAGAGCAGAGATGAGCGAAAAATAAAAAAAAATTTAAATACTATAAATCGGTCTGAGAACAGTAAATTGATCTTTGAATCGGATATAGCTTAGTGATGGCAAAGACTGGGACTGAAAAGGTCCAGAGACCGAGAAAGAGAAAGCAAGAGCCATTTTCTGATGAAGATGGAGATGTGGACTCATCAGAAAGCGATGAGCTTACAGTCGCTGGTCTCATAGATGACGAAGCCAGCGAGAACAGTGACGATAGCGACGAGGAAGAGCAGAGCTCAGAAATTGACTCAGATGATCAATTTAATGAAATGATTGGAGAAGAAGGTGATCTAAGCGATGTCGGATCGGTAGATTTCTCTGACGAGCCCAAGGATGATTCTACGTCACTCACTGATAAGTTGTCTAATGTAAGAATAAAGTCATTTTCTACAGATGATGATGAGAAGGAAGGGTTTAGAGCAAAGTATTCAGATGGGCTGCTCAGAATAGTTAAGCCAGAGATCGAACCCGTCTACGATAGCGATGACAGTGATCATGATAATTTCAACACGATCGGAAATATCCCGTTGTCTGCTTATGATGAGATGCCTCATATTGGTTATGACATTAATGGTAAGAGAATTATGCGACCTGCTAGAGGTTCTGCCTTAGACCAGTTATTAGAATCGATTGACTTACCTGAAGGATGGACAGGTTTGTTGGACCAGAACAGTGGTAAGTCATTAAAGTTGACCGATGAGGAATTAGATTTAATTAAAAAGATTCAAAACCAGGAGAACACTGATGAAAGTATCGACCCATACGAACCAACTATTGAATGGTTTACTTCTAAGACAGAGGTTATGCCTTTGACGGCTGTACCTGAGCCTAAGAGAAGATTCGTTCCCTCTAAGCACGAAGCGAAAAGAATAATGAAAATTGTGAGGGCCATTAGAGAGGGTAGGATAGTTCCTCCCGGAAAAGCAAAAGAAGAGATCGAAGAAGCGCAATTAAATTATGATTTATGGAATAATGAGCAGGAAGGTATTGATCATATCATGAACTTGAGAGCTCCTAAATTACCTCCTCCAACAAATGAAGAATCTTACAATCCACCTGAAGAATATTTGTTTAATGAAGAAGAGAAAAAGAAGTGGGAAGAAATGGATCCAGAAGACAGGGAGACAAATTTCATTCCACACAAATTTAATGCGTTAAGAAAGGTCCCCGCTTATGGTGATAGTTTGAGAGAGAAGTTCGAAAGATGCTTAGATTTATATTTGGCTCCAAGAGTTCGCCACAATAAATTGAATATCGATCCTGACAGTTTGATTCCAGAGTTACCGTCTCCAAAGGACTTGGGTCCCTTCCCAATCCGTTGCTCTACGATATATAAAGGTCATAATGGCAAAATACGTACCTTATCCATAAATCCTCAGGGAATATGGCTAGCTACTGGCTCAGATGATGGAACGGTCCGCTTATGGGAAGTTTTGACAGGAAGAGAGATATACAAAATATCTTTGATTAAAGAGGACAATAAAGATGATCACATTGAATGCTTGGAATGGCATCCTGATGCCACAACTGGTATTTTGGCCGTTACAGCTGGGGAAAACATATACTTGATTGTTCCACCAATTTTTGGTTTTGACATTGAAAACGCCGGAAAGCTTAAAATTGAAAGTGGATGGGGATATAACAAATTCGGAAATACCCAATCAAATATGAAAATGGCAAACGAAAGTGAAGAAGATGCAAACGAAGAAAACAACACGACCTCTGAAACACCAAAGAAGGAAGTCGCAAAGTGGTTAACACCATCTCCAGATCAAGCAGCGCTTGGGGTGTCTGCGATTATTCAATGCAAGAAAAACATCAAAACTTTATCTTGGCATAGGAAAGGTGATTACTTTGTCACAGTTGCTCCAGAAAGCAAAAACACGGCTGTTTTGATTCACCAGTTGTCCAAGCATTTATCACAATCACCATTCAGAAAATCTAAAGGAATTATTGTTGACGCCAAATTTCATCCATTTAAGCCCCAATTATTTGTAGCCTCACAAAGAACCATAAAGATTTATGACTTGGCTCAACAAGTACTCTTGAAGAAGCTAATGCCAGGGGCTCGTTTATTATCATGCATTGATATTCACCCAAGAGGAGACAATTTGCTAGCATCCTCCTATGACAAAAGGGTATTGTGGCATGATCTCGATTTGTCTGCTACTCCATATAAAACTTTAAGGTATCACGAAAAGGCAGTTAGATCTATCAAGTTCCATAAAGGAAACTTACCGCTATTTGCATCTGCATCTGACGATGGCTCAATTCATGTCTTCCATGGAACTGTTTACGATGATTTAATGACTAATCCATTGTTAGTACCTTTGAAAAAGTTATTGGGTCACAAAGTGACGAACAGCATTGGAATCATAGACTTGGTTTGGCATCCAAAGGAAGCCTGGCTATTCAGTGCAGGAGCAGATGGTACTGCCCGCTTATGGACCTCGTAGGA